TTTCTGATGAAGGGTCTAGGCCCGAAACGTCAGCCTTCCTGCTCCTATGATGCTGCTTGGCCTGCTGTGTTCATCCAGCTCTACACCTTGTTATCTCAGATTGTCCAGCATCCGCAGTTCCTACTATCTCTGATAATTTTTTTTAAAAAAGGGGTTAAAATTGTTTGTTTTGTTCCTGAAGGTAATTTCTCCAGACTGCAGCGATGAAGTCACAGTAAAAAAGGACAGTGTATTGGTCCGCTCTTTCAAGGATGGCAAATTGTGAGTACTTCCATAATCTACACTGCTGAATACTGAAACTGATGAGAAAACTTTCGCAACAAGGGGTTAATCCCAAAATACAGCCCTGTTAATAATACAAAGATTTCCATTGTGAAGCATATCTGTCCTGTGTTATGCTGGTCAAGATAAGGTAAAGTTGTCATAGTCTTACCAGACTATAGGGCTGCTGTCTCATTGAATGGAGGGGGTGGTGAGAGAGAGAGAAAGATGACTGGCTGTTGTTTAACCCTTCGGGTCACCACGCCTCAGATGAAGGGACAGCTTTAGAAGGATTGTCTTTCATGGTAATCTCAGCTGGTGTGGGAATTGAAGCCACACTGTTGGTGTCATTCTGCTGATTGAGGGTCAAAGGAATTGTGTATATAGACCTTAGAGAGGCAGGAGCATATCAAAATTCAGCACTAAACCAGCCCAGAAGCGTGTGATTTGTACAATGGGCTTTGAAGTGAGGTAGCTTCACTAATGAGTTGAAAACAAACCAAGACCTAATCGGTATGCAGTATGAACTTCAATTATAAAATAAAAACAGAATATGCGGACTGTATCAGGCAGGATTACCTGAATGAGAAAACAGGTTAATGTTTTAGGCGGAGACTTTTCAACTGAAGATATTGCTCTTCGGTTACAACATAATGTAATATATAGTGCAGCAGGTGCGCAAAGGCCATACGCATGAACAGTGTGTGCAGGTTGAGTGCTTCTGCTCTAACCCCAGGGTGTGGACAGTACAGCATAATAGTCCACCATTAAATCAGTTTGTTGGGAAAATTAAATCTTTGTGGTAAGCCATAACTTAATTGTTTTTATCATATTTAGAGTTTTTAGATGCCAGAAATGATCAGTTAAAAGATTTGATTTTCCATTCTGGATTTTCTGGTGATGTGTTAATAGGGTAGTCACGACTCTGCATTGGTTAGAAATATTCAGACGTTACAACACAGAGGCCATTCAGCCCAAGCAGTCCTTGTCAGCATTTGTTCTTCACACGAGCAAGTGGTTCAAGTCATATTTACCCATCCTGCTCCCATATACCTTCAAACCTTTTCCTTCATTCACCTATACAATCTAAAAGTTTTCTTCCTCAACCACTAACTCAGACAGTTAGTACTCCACTCACAACTAAGTGTGAAGATGTTTCTCCCATTCTCCTGTTAAATCTTATATTTAATCTTATATCTCTGTCTCCTTATTCAAAATCTCTCACCTCCTGAAAATAGTCTTATTTTAATTTGACTCATGTATTTACAATTTCCCACAACAGGCTACATTCTTGTGAAATTCTGTTCATTCTCTAAAGCCTCAATAGTATCCTAATTGTGTAGTAACCAAATGACACAGTCTAATTGAGTTTTTAATAAGATTTTACATGGGTGCATCCTGATTTCTTACATTTTGTTCCAGAAGTTGTGTATCATAGAAGTTTTATTTTACTGGTGAGTATACTTTTTCACCTCCACTGCTCTGCACACAGCATATTTTTCCACATCCATGCTGATAACACCCACATCTGTCTCTCAGCCATCTCTCTTGACCCTTGTCCTGTTTGCAAATTGTCAAGTTGATTGTTTGACATTGAGTACTGGATGAGCAGAAATTGCCTTGTGACAAAGTAAAGGGGAGACAAAATCAATTGTCTGTGCCACCTGTCATATACGACATTCTTTAGCTAATGATTCCATCCTTCCAGCTGATTAATGTCTGACGCTGAACCAGACTGTTCACAGTCTTGATGTCATATTTAATTCCAATTACTAGTCAACCTAATTCTACCTTAATAAAATTACCCATCCATTACTGAAACCCTTATTGGTGCCTTTTTAACTTCTACATTTGGTCATTCCAATGCTCCCTTGACTGGCATTTCATTTTTCAACCCCATAAACTTGAGCTCATCCAGACATCCTCTGCTGATACCTTAGCTCTTCACCATCAGTATTCATTGACCTATAATGCCTCCTGATCTGACAAAGTATAAATTTTAAAATTCTTATCCTTGTTTTCAGTCTATCCGTCAGTTTCTCCAACACTAGATTTGTGTGCATTGCCAATTCTGACCTTGTCGTGGGTCTATGATTTTAATTACTGCACCACTGCTGGTGGAGCTAGCGGCTACTGAGATCTTAAGGGCTGGAATTCTATCACTAAACCTCCATCTCCTTTTCTTTCCTCCTTTAAAGAAAATCCTTAAATTTTGGTTTGACAAGACTTGTAGCCTCTGACCTAATATTGTTTCGTATCTTGATATCAGATCTTGTTTGATAATGCTCCTGTGAAGTGCCTTAATGTACTTTACTTCATAAAAAATGCTATATAAATACATTATTGTTAATGCTGAGTTTCATCTCCAATATTTTTAGCTTGTTTTCTGACTTGATAGTATTCCTTCATAACTTATTTTGTTCTTCAAAAGGATTAAATGTATGATGATTGTTTTAATCCTGCATCCAAAGCATAGATAGAGACAACAAACAGAATTAGCCCAACAACCTAAACCTTAAGCACACCACCACCCACTTCCAACCACTCTGAAAACCACTCATAGCTCCTATTCTGTTTGCTGCCTTATGACTAATTTGTCATCCATTTATCCTTCCTGAATTTCATTTCCTGTGTTGTCTGACAGTAGTGTCATATGTGCATCTTGCCAAGCCAGTGTCAATGATTCCCACCACAAACTTTGTTCCCTTGCCACTGATTCCATGCACACATTTCACTGAGTGGCAGAAGATAAAACACTGGTTAAGAAAGAATCTAGTCATAAACTTCCCTAGTCAGAATTTTACTTCCAGCACCACAAACTCTAATTCCGCTTACTACTCTTGTTCCCCATTTTAATACACCTGACTCTCACCCAGTTATCTCTTACCATATTACCATCGCCTATTCCCCAGCCATATTTGGTCTTGGGCATCCCTGCCAGATCCTACCAGACACATTTTCCTTTTTCTTTAAAGCAAACAAAACAAAAATGCAAAATGTCAACATACAAAATTATGACTTTTTATATTCACTTTTCTTTCTTCCTATACATTAAAGTTCCCAGTGTCCTTCCAGCATTCCTATTAGATATTGGAAGGTTGCTCCTTCCTCTGTAAAATAATCAGATAGCTGACCGCCTGTTGCAGTTTGGAGATTTTTCCATTCCCCAGCATTTGTTTTAAAACTGCAATATTGATTGTTGGCCTTTTCTTCATTCACATATTGTACGGTATCCCTTCCTGAGTTGTTGTTATTAATATCGCACTCAATGAATATTGCTGCTGATTCCCCTTTTTATTAGAATTTCTTCTAATAATTTTACAAAGAAAAATGTCACATCTATCGCTTTTCTGATATTTCCAGCTTCCTAAGTTAAAGAGCAACATTTACCTTGCTCTCCCAAAAGAAAAACTATAACCCTTCCTGCATCAGGGGCATTTACATAAGGAGCATCATTAAAATCAGTAGTTTTCTTATTACTGGTATCTCCCAGTGATGGAAATTTAAAATGTTCTGTTTTCAGTTTTTGCAATGGTTTGTTTGCTGAAATCCTTCTCCTTCGGATTTTTCATTGATGTGCTCAACTCTGAGCTCAAAACTGGCATCTGGCCTTTTTGGGTGCCAAATCAATTCAGCAGTCCAATTTGACTTCACCATTCCTCCATTTCGGTTTTGGAAGATACTGCATCTTTTTGTGAGGCTCTACCTTAACCAACTGCAATGGGGTGAACAATTTCTGAATAAGATTAATGCTGTGTGACACTTGATCCATTCTGCATGATTTCCAATCCCATGTACTGAAAGCATAATTCCAAATTAAGCCAGCCTTTAGGAGCTGTTAAATCCACTTATAACCATGTTTTCAAATCCACTGCTTCCACTCCACAAAAAAAGCATCTACAGGAATCACAAGGATGCCAGAAATCTGACCCTCATGGTGCCAGTAAAGCACAGCAACTTTTGTTTTCAGCTGGAGATAGACTAGTCTTAATAAACTTTCTAAGAAGTACTAAATTCCACAAACATCATTTCAACTATATGTGCATTTATTTACCTTCCAGAAATTGCCCGTTGCATTTAGTGTGCCTTTTAGAGGGCAAAGAAACATTTCTCCTTTGAGTTAAAGCTGCATTTCTGCAGCAGATTAACATCACTTGATGTACATTCCAAGTGTTTGTGATTAACAAAGCCAAGAAAATCTTCAAAATTGTTTTTCCTGGCACCAGTAAATCTGTTGTTCTGTCTTGATTTCCCCCAGGCCTCACTCCAAGTTTTGCTTGAAAAACCTCTTGTCACTATATTTGCTTTGGCCTTAAGTCCTGTCAGGAAACATGTTTTCCATGAATATCCACTTTTGTGAATAGGCAGGTTGTCTCCTGTCAGCACTTCTGTATACACACTCATTCTTTCCAGCTCTGTAACTCTTGCTGTTTGGCAGTCTTAATGAGCTTGTTATCTCATTTGTTCGTAGCCAGTAGGACACCTACTCAGTTCTGAGGAAGGGTCACTGAACCCAAAACGTTAACACTGATTTCTCTCCACAAATGCTGCCTGACCTGCTGAGCCTTTCCAACAATTTCTGTTTTTGTTTTGGACTTCTACTCCTGTTGATTTCCTGGCCTTTGCTATATTTCTTGATCTTGCCTTCTCTGCCTTTTCCATAGAATTCATAGAATAGAAACCTTCAGTGTGGAAACAAGCCATTCAGCCCAACAAGTCCAAACTGACCCTCTAAAGAGCATCCCACCCAGACCCATCCATGACATTCAACCAATAATATTTTCCATTGGCCTTCCTTGCTCTACTCAGAATAGTTATGTTTCTGAATAAAAACTGAAAAACTGCAGATGCTGTAAATCAGGAACAAAAGCAAAAGTTGCTGGAAACGCTCAGCAGGTCTGGCAGCATCTGTGAAGAAAAAATCAAAGTTAACGTTTTGGGTCCAGTGACCCTTCCTCAGAACTGATGGTAGCTGGGAAAATGTCGGTTTATATGCAGAA